ATAATTTTTTAAAAAATTTTATTTATTTATTTATTTATTTATTTGGTACAGGGTCTTGCCATGTGGTGATCGGACTCATAGTCATCCTCCTGTCTCGGCCTCCTCACTGCAGGGATTACAGGCGTGCGCCACTAGCACAGCACATCCTGGATTTCGGGGAATGCATGGCATGTGGTACCGGGATGGAACCCGGCTCCTCGCGCTTGCCAGGCAGGCATTTAGACTGCTGAGCTATCTCCCCAGCCTGTGTGTGTGTGTTTTGTTTTTTGTTTTTTGTTTTTTTGTTTTGAGACAATGTCTTGCTATGTAGCCCCGGTTGGCCTCGAACTCACAGCAATCATCCTGTCTCAGCCTCCTGAGTGCTGGGACTACAGGCGTGTGCCCCTGTACTTTTTTTTGTAGTGCTGCGGGTAGAATCCAGGGTCTTGCACTGCGCCACTGAGTACAGTCCCAATTAGATTGGGATTTTAAATTTGTAGATGTGGTAAAGGATATGTAACATAAAACTTGGCATCAAAGACTTTCAGGATACAGTCGGTTGTGTTAAGTACACATCACAGAGCCATCAACCCCTGGAACTGTTGTCATCTGACAGAAAGGAAGCCTTCTACCTTTAAATGGCTATGCCCTCCTTCCCCTCTGCCCCAACCTCCTGGAAGGCACATTAGTGTTTTGTCCACTGGTGCAGCTGGGATTTGGGTTGAGGCATAACATACTGTGGGAAGGGAGGGAGGGAGGGAGGGAAGGAAGGAGACAGGGAGGGATGGGCAGAGCCTGCACTGGGGAGGCCTGTCTGAGAGAAACCTAGGCACTCGAGTGTGCAACAGCATTTTCCCCTACTGCTTACAGCCTCCGCCACCTTCGAGGACTTCCAGATCCGGCCGCACGCGCTCACCGTGCACTCCTACCGCGCACCTGCCTTCTGCGACCACTGCGGGGAGATGCTCTTTGGCCTGGTGCGCCAGGGCCTCAAGTGTGATGGTGAGGGGAATTAAGGGTGGGGGTGGACTGTGGGTATGGGCGGGGCGGAGCCTGGGGTTGGGCGGGGCCTGAGGGTGGGCGGGGCGGGTGGGGGCGGGGCTGAGGTCTGGGGCGCAGACCGCAGGGAGAGAGCTTGGAAAAGGCCTCAGTCTCTGGGGAATAGCCAGGATGTGTCAAGTGTCAAGCGCAGACAGAACCAGTAGGAGAAGATATTTATCTGAAGAAACTGGTTTATGGGTTGTGTGGCTGGCCGGTCAACTCTCAGATCAGGAGTCCGCAGGGCTGTGGGTCAGGCAGCTTAGGAAACAGGCAGTAATTCCCAGATTCAAGCCTCTGACCGCAGGGAGAATTCCTTCCTCTTGAAAGCTTCTCAGTTGATTGAATTGGGCCCAGCAATGAAGTTGGTTAATCCCCCTCATTGCAGCCCACTGATTGCAGATTTTAATCCCATCTGCCAAACATCTTCACAGCAGCCACCAGGGGGGCGCTAAAATGACAGTGGACATTGGCCTCAAGGTGACATATAAAGCTGCCATAAGTATTCACCCTTGGTCAGTCTGGCACCCGACTTCGTGCTAGGACTGCCAGCACCAACCAGCAGGCTCCCCACTTCTAGAAGCAGGGGGAGGGCCATGTGGGGCACTGGTGTCTAAGGAGAGGGGTGGGCTGGTGAGCTGAGGAGGTGACCCAGAGGTGCACCTTGAAGTGGAAAAAGAAGGAGTGGTGTATAAACTGGAGTTAGGGACAGGGCCTGGGCTTGGTGACTTCCTTTTGGAGGAACCAGGCAGGGCCAGTTGGGGAACCTGGATACCGGCGGAAGGGGGCCGGCCTTGGACTGTCTCTGACCTTCTGGCGCCACCTACAGGCTGCGGGCTGAACTACCACAAACGCTGCGCCTTCAGCATCCCCAACAACTGCAGTGGGGCCCGCAAGCGGCGCCTGTCCTCCACATCTCTGGCCAGTGGCCACTCGGTGCGCCTTGGCAGCTCCGAGTCCCTGCCCTGCACGGCTGAGGAGCTGGTGAGGACCTGGGCAGGGGCAGGTTGGTGCTGATGGGGCCCAGGACTACATGACATCCTGAAGTGTCCCTTCCACCCTCGCTGACCCGTAGAGCCGGAGCACCACGGAACTCCTGCCTCGCCGCCCGCCTTCGTCCTCTTCTTCCTCTTCTTCTGCCTCATTCTACACTGGTCGCCCCATTGAGCTGGACAAGATGCTGCTCTCCAAGGTCAAGGTGCCGCACACCTTCCTCATCCACAGCTACACGCGGCCCACCGTTTGCCAGGCTTGCAAGAAACTCCTTAAGGGCCTCTTCCGCCAGGGCTTGCAGTGCAAAGGTTTGTGGGGCAAGTGGGAGGAGCTTGGGTCCGAAGCTTGCCCTCAGCCGCATCACATGGGGTCTGGGGAGGAGCTGGAGAAACTCGGGATTCCAAGTTTTAGGAGCACAGGGCCTTAGAAGATGAGTGCCCTGAATCCTGGTGTTCCAGAACCTTGGGAATTATAGAATCCTAGAAACTTGTAAATCTAGAGACGTAAGCTATTAGACGTGGGAATTCCTAAAGTATAGAACTCGAGGAGAATTCTAAAATCAGCAAACATTATAAACAGAATGCAAGAATTTTGGAATCATAGAATTCAGCTTAAATAACCATAGAACTGTAAATTACCAATCTTACAACTGTTACGGACTTTTAGAATATTACAATTTTATTTATCTTTGTGTGTGTGTGTGTGTGTGTGTGTGTGTGTGTGTCTTTTTGAGACAGGGTCTCACCTGCAGTTCAGGCTGGCCTTGAGCTTACTTGAGCTATAGCCCAGGATGGTCTTGAGCTTGTAACAATCCTCCTGCCTCAGCCTCCCAAGTGCTGGGATCACAGGTGTACACTACCACACCCAGCATTCCCTTTTTTTTTTTTTTTGCAGAACCGAGGATTGAGTTCAGTACCCTGCGCTTGCCAGACAAGCGCGTATTCTGCAGAGCTATCTCTCTGGGTCTTCATTTTATTTATTTATTTATTTTTTGCGGAACCTGGGATTGAACTCAGGTCCTTGTGCTTGTCAGGGAAGCACTTATTCCACTGAGCCATCTCCCTGGCTCTCATTTCATTTTCTTATTTTTTTTTTTAATTTT